GCTTCTTTAAAATTTTTATTTTCCTTATTGCAAAACAGTTGGTAACAGAAAGCTAAAAAATAATCTCGAAACATTTCGAACAGTACTAAAACTTAAGAGATAGCTTGTCAAAAAATAATGCTTTAAAATGGAGCATTCGTCATAGTAACCTGGAAACAAAGTTACGTAACATGTAAATGAAGAACAATTAGTTTCTAGCTAAGCTTATGTTTACATGTGTGCCTGTTTGGAACCTAAACTGATATTGAAAATATAAATCAAAAGTTAAGGTTTGATGTCTAAACGTTTGATGGTTCTAAACGTTCCCGGGTTCGAGTCCCGGTCGGGGCAATCAATTTCATTCCAACAAATTTAATTTTCTAAACGTTTGAGTTGTAAGTTGGGTACTGCGTGCATCTACTTCTGTTTATGATTCAGACCACAGGTCGTTTGATATTAGAAAATGCTCCATTTTAATATTCTTTTCGCGAATCCCCTTTGTAGATGCCGCTTCCCTGGAGCCTAGGATTCCCTAGCGGATTGAATGCGGAGCGCAGTCCGTACCGAATCAGCTCCAGTGGTTAGTGAAGATAGCGGCAGCAAGTGCGAGGAGGGGCTGAGGCGGAAATGAGGGTCGTAAAAGTAATGTTTTCTTTGCCTAACGAAATTGTAGGCAGCCACTTTTATTCCTTTCCTCCGCCGGCACCCCGCGCGGCGCCGAGGACTCCTGTCGTGTCCATTTTCATTTGTTTATTGTTTCGCCTTGCGCCTGGACCTCATACCCAGTTCGTAATCTGGGCGTGAAGGGAAGAGGGCTCGTGTGAATGGAGCGTCCAGGCGCCAAGGCAGCGCATGGAATGGCGAATGGCGAGGCGCCCCTGACCTGGGCCAAGCGGGGCGCGGGCCTGCGCGGGGGCCGATCAATGCGCCGACGGGGGCCCCGCCCGCGCCTTCGCACGGACACACGGGGAGGGAACGCTCGGCCTGCGATGAAAAGTCCGTTCCCCGGGAGCGGGGGGGGGGGGCACATCTGCCTAAGTGAGAGATGGTGAATATACAGAGGGACGCGATCATGCGTCAGATCACGCGGGCCAAGCGAACTACCGCGAGAGTTGGTGTGCTGGATTAGTGATGTGCTCTCGATCTAAGCTTCGCGTCGCTAAAAAAAGTGCCATGCAACAACGGAATTTGGGAAAGCCTTTCAAGACTGTCATTTTTTAGCGAATAAGACTCTTGAACGGGAAGCCATTTACTTCATACGGGAACACGATTTATTATCCACTTTTTTGATAGTAGGGCCCCACTTTATACGAGTTTTTCCTGTCGTTTGTTTGCTGTCGTTCACATGCCGTTTGTTTCCTCTTTACTGCGCCAATAAGGCTAGGAAGTTAGAAGCATGAAAAGGCTACTCTGGATCCATCTGCAAGTCGTATTCGCAGAGAGCGATGGATCCCCGGCAGTGGGAAGGTGGGCGGCGAGGCCAGGTCGCTGACCCGTCGCGTCGCGTCGCGTCGCGTCGCGTCGCGTCGCGTCGCGTTGCGTGGCGTGAGCGCCATTCGGAAGCGCCCTCGAGTGGCCCCTCTCGGCGTGCGTGGAAACGGCCGGTTCTGCTGTGCTCTCCTCGTGCTGCCCTTGATAAACGAGAGGCGATGTTGCCCACACACCCCACATGTGCTTAAATTGTGAGTGACTGCTGCAAATTGGCGGGTCGCGAGGTTTCTTCGCAGTGTGGAGTGATGTCGCATGTAAAGTGCGTGAGCCAGCGGCGGGTGGGGGCGTGGCCTCTCTGCCATTGGGCATGGGTATGGGCAGGCCGGCCGCCGACTCAAATGGAAACGGAACTACCAATGATGCTCAAGGGAATCCCGTAATTGCCCAAAAACTCGCAAGTAAACAAAGGTGCATTTTGTGAAGCCGTGTGTGTCTGACAAAGGGCACGGTTACGTTATTCCCCAAACCTTCGCTCTCTGCTCCTTCTTGTCGCCTCCCGCGGCGTAGCGAAGGATGCCAATACCCCGGTGAAAAAACTGAAACGCGATGCGTGTCGTGGGTTAGAAAGCATTTGAGGTCGTAGGGTTGGTATGCTCTGTCCGGTGCCCTCTCGCGTCTACCGCTTGCTTCAACCCCCGCCTCCGAGCCTTCCCGTGTGAACGCCAGTTCTGGTGTTCGCCTCGGGTTCAAGATTACGAGGCAGTTTAATCTTCCCCATTTGGGTTCATTGCTATGCGCTGCTCTTGGGATGCATTTCAGATAAGCTCTTTATCGGTGGCCCCAATGCTTCTTTTAGAGAAAGATGAGCTGCGATGTGCGAGTGCCTGCCCATGAAGTCAGTCGCATGGCAGTGGCAGGTCGCTCCCTTCGGGATTTTTCCAAACATTGCACTCGTACGTATACCTGGTCACTTTGAAATGAACGAAAAATGGCTTCCACTACTCCATAAACGGGTCTTGGAAAGTCAAGCAGTTCAAATAAACTTGTTGCGCGTTTTTTGGAGAGCAGAAACGTCCCTGCTGCAAGAATACGATTCGCTGTGGTTAATTTAATTAAACACAATTGTTAATGTCTGAAAATACCAGGATACGTTTGAGAACAAGAATTGGGGAGAATTGAAATCACACTAATCACATCTGATCCTGTTGTTGAATTAAAGCGGAACCCAAATTGCTTCGTACATAACACTTAGTCCTAGTACGTAACCCGCGATCGCTCAAAGTTACACACTCACTTTTTACTTTTGAGGATTTGCTTTTTTGATGAAATATCAATTTCGGGATTGTTTTGCCTTTAGAAGTAATTCTGTAAACCATGTTTCTAAAAATAAAATAGATAAATGAAAAGTATTCAGATGTGATGAATGTTCACGTAGGTGGCGCGCTTTTGACCCGAGTAGGAGAATCTGTTGTTGTTTTTTTCCTTCAGAAGAAGGAAACCTACTATCCAAATTGTTGACTCCCAATTAATACTTAATATTTATATTTCTAAAGAGGTGTTTTATGTGCGAAATAAAAATGGAAAGAACTGTTTATTACATTATTATTATTATTATTATTATTATTATTATTATTATTATTATTATGTGTTGCAATTACCTAAAATCCATTTTCGTTTAGGGCCGTTCATAAATTACTTTATGCAAATTTGGAGTATTTTGAAAACCTCTTCTCCCCGTGTAATCCACTCTAACGCAACGCGCCCTTGAACCTCCCTCAATAATTACGTAACGGTTGCAACTCCCCACTCTCCCGATGTACAACTAGTAAAACTAAATTATTTACTAGCAGTAAAACAATTTATATTAATTTTGTATTATTAAAATGTATGAGGAAGTCAGAATTAGTTGATGTGGTGAGACTGCACCTGACAATATGATTGGAGCCAATTTTGGAGTAAAGGACGACGCATGGGCAAGACAATTTTTTGACAGTAAGCACACACAAGTACCGTCGTGGATACATGGACGAGAATCTTCTGCTCTAATTTAAATGGATCCTAAAATGTAGATCAGCTTTGAAGATTTTCTTCGTAATCGAACAGGTTCAATCAATATACTATTGACGAAATTTACATTTATTGTAGCTACTTAAATATCATAACTTTTTAATTTTTTTTAAATTTAACTTTTTAATATTGTAATGTTGTAGAGCAAGATTAAAAGGAATTATTTATGAAAATGTTTGAAAATTAGAAAAAAGTCAACGTTACAAAACACAACACTAACATTTCCTATTCCTATGTAACGCTGCCCTAAGCCCCCTCCCCCTTTAGCGATACATAATTTATGGCGGCCCCATTTTACGAAATAAATTTAAATACTCTATTAAAAACTATGTGAAAAGTGAGTTAGTTGTAAATAAAGGCGAATAGGGAAGAGTGGGGGCTGGGTGTCGACGCGTCGTGCGTGGCACGCAGTGACGTGGCCGTGCTAACGACCTCCCAACGCGCCGCGCCGCGCCGCGCCGCGCTGCCTCCTTCCCGCCTCGGAATCTCACTGGGCGATGCAGGCGGCGAAGGAAACAACGGACTTGGCATCTCCACGTAACAGCACACCCTGCAACCCGAGCGTGGAGCAGAAGGCCTCTGACTTCAAGAATGCAGCGAGATAATCCTGTGCCTCATTGAACTGCTCTGTAGCCGCTGCTTTAGAACAACTCTGCCTTAGTCTCAACGGTAGTTTGCAGTACGACGCAAATAGGCAGCATTCTTTTCCGATTTCCTCTTCCATGTACCTTAAAGTGGGCATAGTTTTCAACTTTCCAATGCATTGTCATTGAATTAATTTAAGCACACCATTAACTCTGTTATTATGACATATTCATATTTATGAATGTGGGTGACATTCATTTTTATGAATGTGGAATTATGTGTGTGTGAAATGCTTTATTCTAAGGTGGTGACTGAGTTTCGTATTTCGCATCTCTAAATTAAAGCAGATACACAATAATTATATTTTTACCGTAATAAATATTATGTAAATGCAACAATGAACATGCATTGATAAAAGCACATTAATCGCTGTCGCTAATCAATGATGATCGTTCCCGAACGCTCATTTGCGAAAGAAGACCGTGTGTTGGAGAACATTATTTTCTCTAGCAGTAATTAATGTACTCCAAACGAACAAAAGCTTTGTGATATCAATATTTTATTTGAGATACACATAAGTGAACTGTAAATTATTAGTAAGTTAGTGCGGTGTATCTCATGAATGCAGATTATTCATAAATACATGTTTTCACTCAGCCAGAGGGAAGATAAGTGACAGACATACTAAAGAGATAACATACTAGCTGCCTTAACAAAAAATCTTTTGACCCTTTACCTGCTGCTGTGCCTTGGTTGACCAGGGCCGAGCGGGGCGAAGGCGAGTGCGGTGGCGGGGGCAGGGACGGGGACGTGGCCCCGTTGGCGGGGATGGCTCTCGTCAGCCGCCACGCCACCGCCACGCCACCGCTGCCCACCACGCCCGCGCGTTATTTTCGGCGCCCGCGCTGGCCGCCTCGCCCGTGCATTGCGCTTTCGCCATGGAGGCCCCCCGCCAGGTGGCCGTGTGCTTCCCCGCTTTGCTCTGTGCTCACGGGCGCAGCACATTCCCCTACCGACCATATTTCCTTGGGATATTACGGACGTCAGACGAGGTAATGTGAAACGGTACACGATGGCATATTTATTTAAGAGCATGGTTAGAGTTGCAAAGGGCCAGGAAGCAGGCAGCGAGAAGCCTGGGCGGTTCTCCTTCCGTTGGAGACCTCGCTCTCGTCGCCCAGCTGGCAGGTTTGCCTTTTTTTTGGCGCGCGGGGTGTTTTTCACTTCGAATCTTAAATAACCCGTCGTATCTTAACCTCGAGCATCATTTCAAGCGTTCCATTTTGCCAACCATAGGATACATAAAAAACCAGGACCTGAAAATAAGTTTCTTGGACATCAGTATCAGGATGATTCGTTTTTATTTTACCGAGGGTGTGTTGTAAACGTTCCTGAAATATGGGGTTGGCGATAGGGCGAGGATGGGCGGTGACTAATTTGTGACCTATATTCGCGTGTAAAACTCGGTCTAGTTATTGCCAGTAGAATGTTTCTTAAATTTGATAGACGGATGTTGTAAGTCATGCAAATACACTTAAAACTCTCTTGGTAGAGGTGGTTGTTTTTTTGTTTTGAAACGTGGGTTTTATTCCCTAATTCACGAGGAGCCTGCGGCTTCCCTCCGGCCCTGGGGGCCCTCGAGTGCCCGAGTGCGTCCGCCGCGAACAATGCGAGCGGCGCGGTTCGCCACCATGACGAATATATTCCGCTTTGCTCGCTCCGAGAGAGCGGTTTCGGAGGGGTGCGCCCCCGGCCGGGCCCCGGCCCCGGCCCCGGCAGCCACTGCCAGTTCACTTCCTACGCGCTTCCCAAAACTCTTCAAGAGGGCTCCCACCGCTGCTCCTGAGGATAGAAGAAATGAAACTTTATCAAACACGCAGGGACGGGGTGAGGGATGTGCAGTCATGGCGTTCTGGTGTGCGAAACCAGAAAAAACAAAAACGAATTACTTCAGAAGGCCAGATTGTGATACTTAAACAATGATCGTGCGTTGGTGGACCATTGTAGATGGTAGGTGCCAGTATGATGTATACGAGATCAATATTCAGTTATTGCTGCTTATTATGAACATCATCGCCGATTTCTCCATGGGACTTGTAAGGGACTCTTGAGGAGAACCAAAAAAATAAATAAATGATTTGTTCGTGAAAAGAAAAGGCATTGTTTAGAAACTGGAGATGTCCCACACCACCTGGCGAGGGCATCTTATTCAGTGACCCTCGTAGCAATGGCATTTTGGAGACACTTGCACCACTACTTCAGGATTTCGTAGGTTGATTTAAAAACGCATCTTCTTTGTTCCTGTAACGCTGATGTGGTTTTAAAATAATTTTAAATAAGTGAACATGTTTGTTTCGTGTTATGTATTCCATGAAATTCGAGAATATTCATATTACAAAACAAGACGTAAATTAAGCTGCCAAGATATTCCGCCGTTACCTAAATAATGGTTCAGTAAAACAGAGTTTGGCTCGTTTTGTCGTAGCCCCCGTCTTGTTACTTACATGTATCTATAACGAATATAAAATGTAAATTCTTGCGTTAGCTGAACGGGGGGCGCGGCGCGGCGCGGCGCGGCGCGGTGCGGTGCCGCGCCGCGAATCCACTTTGACAGTGGGGTGGGGCGTTTATATATAGCCTGATCAGAAAGCAGCCGGCCGTAGCCCAGAAATTATGAAGTTTTGCAACGTGCCTGCGCGGCAGGCGGCGTCGGTCGGTGCGGCGCGGGGTTACGCAACGTGCGGAGCGGAGCGGCGTCTTAATATACGGCGCCGCGCAGCGCCGGGCGAGGCGGGGAGGGCGGGGCGGCCTTGCGGCCCCACCGCCTTGGACACCCTTCAATGCTGGCTGGTTGGCAGGCGGGTCTGGCGCTCGCACCCTTTGAAACGAGCGGCCAACGCGCCGTTGGGCGTGGAGGCGGGCCTCTCCGAAGGCGCCCCTGCCTCTGCCTCTGGGTTGGTGGCTGGCCGGCCGCGGCCGCCGGAAGTCAGTGTGTGCTCGGGCGCTTCCGCCAGCGGCGGCAGTTACGGCTGCGGAACCGTGACCCCGGCCGCAATCGCTGTCATCAGCGCTCCCTCCGCCCCCGCCGCCGCCCCCGCCCGGAAGTTAATTGTTGTGAAGACGACACCCCCTCCTCGCTGTGCTCCCCTGGGGAAATTGGGCAGCTCCACCACCGCCCTCTCCAACGGTCTCCAGCGCCCCCACCCCCACCCCCTTTCAGAATGGAAATCGACTATTACCTGCGCAGCCCAGTGATGACGTTGGAAATTGATAGAAAAAACCGCTCGCTAATGCGTTGTCAATAACGAGTTAGCGAGAGCAAACAGTTGAAAACACGTATTACGGAGAGGTAGGGTTTCTGCGAAGAGGGTCCAGGTAGAGGAGGCACGTTCTTTGGGGACGGCCATCCTCGAGTCTAGCGAAGAAATAAAGATGAGCTTTTGACGTTAAATACATATTGTAGTTAATCCCCGTAGTTTGACTTTCTCCAGCGCTCAAGCGCTTAAGGGCTGGGTGAAGGTTCGCCATGCCGGTTGTTGTTGCTTGCTTATGGGTGTTGCTAACGCTGATGGGCCTGAGGCGCGCCACGCCGCGCCGCGCCGCGCCGCGCCGCGCGCATCCTGCGCGAGACAATGGCGGGGGCGGGCCGCCTCGCTATTGCCTTCGCTAAGTGCGCCCCGCCCGTCGGGAGAGGCGTCGTCGGACGGCGCACGTCCTATCTGGCTGAATTTCAATTAATTGTTCACATTTAAATACTGCCTCTTCGTAGTAGACCTATGGGGAAATTCGGTTCGAAAGTGAAAGCTCGTGCGTTTATTTATCTTTCAGTTTGTATTCGTCCTGGGGTGGGTTGCTTCCACTGTATAGTTCGAACGAGAACGGCAAAATAATGGTGGTGTTTGTAGCCCGTGGTTGGGATTGTTCCTTGTGTTGAAGGCGTAGTGCCTGGTCAAAGTTGCCTCAAGTCCATTTTTGTAGATGCCGTGTATAGTCGGGTGAGTCGGGATGTGTTTCAAAGTGGGCTGGTATCTGTTTGCCTCTTGGACACCCGTGTCCTGCAGTCGCTCGGGTTGGCGGAGCTAACTCAGAGATTGGGACAAGGGCGACTCCTGCCGCTGTCAGTACATTTCAGCTTAATTTATATTCGATATTCTAATGAATGGAGGTGCTAGATAAGACATTTCATAGAAAATTCGTTGTGATGTGAAAGGTCAAACAGGCTGTGAAATGCGAGGTCAGGTTAGCGATGAATGTAGTTTCCTTTTTGACTTATTAACAATGCCATGTGTTGCAAATTGTGACAAACGTTTGATACAATAAATGAACAAAAAGTGTTGATCCAATTGAGGTCGTGAAGAAAACGAATGGTATATGCAATGCGTGAAATAGTATTTGAGAACCTGTTTGCAATGGTCCGCATAACGCATGCTGTTTGTCTCACTGTGTGTGTGTGCTGTGTGTTGTAGGAGGGCGCACCTGCGGAACTGCCTGGAGAAGCTGAAGGAGATGGTGCCCCTGGGGCCGGAGGCCTCCAGACACACGACGCTTGGCTTGCTAACGAAAGCGAAGCGGTTTATCAAGGTACGCCCGGCGATGAGCCCTCTGCTTGGGGTAGGGCAGGCGGGATGCGTGGGCGGAGGACGCGTTTATTTTTAAGAGCCGTAAATGCGCTCGCGGATGTAAATGCGTGCAAGGAGCGGCGCCGGGAGGCGGGCCAAAAGAAGGGCGAGGAGGGGGGGGTCAGCTCCTGTTGGAGACGTCGCCCTCCCCGCCCTCCTCCATCCCATCCCATCCCATCCCATCCCACCTCACCTCACCCGCCCCGGCCCGGCGCCCGCGCGCCTCGCATGGCCATGTTTGTTGTGCTGCGGCCGAGTATCGATCCGCGTGCGCCCGGCTGCCTCCTCCACTTTCTCCTTTGCTCCCCGGGCCCGCGCACTGCCACTCGCCGCGCGCGTAGAGCGGCCGCCCATTGAAACACAGCCAGCGACCTGGACGCGCAGCTAAGACGCAACGGAGATGGAATGCCCTCATCCCACCAGTGTGGATTTTCCACCCTCGGATTGCCACAACACCGTCTAGCATACGAACGCCTCCGCTGATTGGCCAGCTCCCCCGCGAAGTACTCGGCGATAGCAAAATACTCGCGAAGCGAACTGGGGAAATGCCGGCGCACGTAGCCCGTAGCACGTAGTGGAAGCGCTAAGAGTAGGCGTTCAGGTGTTACTCTCCACTCACACTCTCATAAAAATTGTAAAGTAGACTATCTATTCGCAAAATCTCGTCGTCCAAATTAGTTCCTGAGAATCACTTAGATCAACCCTAAAAGCGATGTCAAGGTGGGGGGAAGGATAGGGGTGACACCCAGCTGCCGCTAACATGCCACACACACACACACACACACACACACACACACACGAACGCACTTCCGTACTCAGATTTATTTCCGAGTGTAACACTTTTTATTACAATGCAGTTCGATGCGTAACAAATTTGTCTAATGATTACATGAATTTGTTGCAACGAGCGCGGCTGTCGGTCTTTTGACTCTCCTGTCGTTCTGGTCAGTCTGTGCGCAGAACGTTCGTTTTGCGAGGAATAGAAAGCTGTGCGCGGACCGGCGCTAGGCTAGAGCAGCCCCACTAACACAATTAGCCGCTGCGTTAATTGACGGAGAAACCACGCACGCATCTCTCCTCTCCAAATCTTTGTTTCTTTCACCCGCTGGTCCCTCTTAAATCTTTTTTGGGAGAGGTCCTTGGCGGTCCTGCATATATGTGTGAGAGTCTTATCATTTATGAACCGTTTCCCCGTGGGTTCTCTTACACGCGTTCTGAGCTGATCAACTCGGAAGCAGGTCCTAATGCAAGTTAACGCAACAGTGAGGTTTGTTACAAAGTACAGCTGGAGAAGTCATTACGTGAAACCATGCAGAGAAGTCTTCCAATTGCAAAACTGTGAAGTCGTAGGCTTCCGCAGACAGTCATGTGAATTATCTTGGTTGTCCGGGTAACGCCGCGTCGAAGGCTGTGGTGCCTACGTTTCGACCATCTCGTGGTCTTCCTCAGGGGCTGGTCCGCCATGTCGTGGTCTTCCTCAGGGCAGATCTGCCCAGGGGAAGACCCTTATTAGATAGTCGAAGCGCTGGCATCACAGCCTTGGACGCGGCGTCACTCCAACAGCCAAGATCTGCAAAACTGAGAAGTTTGCGGGATGGTATGATCGTGGAACGGTATTAATTTGTAGGATAGATACTAATGTGTGAGAGTAGCTTATTCTGCTAGTGCCTGCTTTTGCATTTACTGTAATGTCTTTAATTTAAGACTATACTTCTTGACTGCATGAATGGAGTAAAATGGAGCCTGAATTGTGTGTGCAGAACCTGGAGGAGCGGGAACGGAAGCACGCAGTGCACAAAGAGAACCTGCACAGAGATAACCGCTACCTGCGGCGCCGCCTCGAGCAGCTGTCGGCCGCGCACCTCGCCGCCACGCTGGCGGCCGCCTCCAAGCGCCGCTCGGTGTCGGAGTGCTCCTCGTCCACCACCACCAGTACAAACTCGTCGTCCTCGTCCTCGTCCACGTCCTCCGCGTCACCGTCGTCCATATCAGAGTCAGGTGAGCAGCGCTTTTGTGTTCTTGCCGTGCCGATCCAAGCGGGTAGTTGACCCGGGTGGGAGTCCCCCCCCCCTTCCAACCACATCACCCATCGAAAATGTATATGAAGGGAAGAATACAAAACATAATTTTGGCAATTGTCATGTTTATCATTACTCACTTAAGTCATTTCAGCAGTTCATTTTTGCAATGCAAAACAGCACTGCATTTTTCACTTTTTGATACACACTCATTTAACAATTTTTGCAAATCGATTTTGTCGGTCATGACGCTATAACATGTAAAATCGCAATACTGTTCGGCCGAATGTGCAACATAGTTGATCGCATACTCTTTTTCAAGTTGACGCAGTACCGAAACATTTCGTTCATTTCTGAAATTTGACGTTTATGGAATATTTCTCTCGCCTCAAATTCCAAGTGAGTATTTTACCCACTTGGAACTTTTCATATCGGTGTAGCTATCCACTGATAATGTACTCACATTATCCGCCGGACTTGCCCTCAACAGACTTACTGGAAGAGTATGTGAAATTCAGAGAACAAAGCATTAACAAAAATTATTTCTTTCAATTAATTTCTCGGTTACTCGGGAGCAAACAGTTTTATTTTCTCGCCCTTTGTAAGAAGAGAAAGTTCGCCCGAAAACGGGAATGTTTTCACCCATAAACTCTTGTTGCCAGGCTGGTAACGAAAAAATGCATACATCTTGTTCCTATGGATAATAAATTACTGCATATAACATGTCGTATAGTCAGAAACCATGTTTTGTCTTTGATTTGGAAAAATAGCTGTCAGTCAAAATGTCTGACACCATCTGTCTCTCTGGTCAACACTACACCGTTCTGCCTGAACCGTTGTGCCAATTTTCTCCAAAATTGTTATTCCCCAATACATTTGAACGAACTTGTGGCCCTGCGAGTTTGAAACAGAGTTTTTTAATTTTGGAAGTACTTTCCAAGAAGCTAAAGTAACATTTTCAAAAATTTCTCAAAAATGGCTCCAAATTTTTGGATTAAACTTTGCCCGTGAATAGAATAAAGGACACTTACAAGAATGGTGCAGGTATAATTTTCATTAAAATCTCTAATTTTTCAAAAACTGCAAAAGTTAAAAATTTGTTTGACTTCTTCCTTCAACTAAAATATTGAAGATAGACATTTTTTTAATGAAATCTGTTCTTTAAAAACAATTCTTGAAATAAGCGAGGTCATGTACAATTTTTCTTAAACAATGGTGGGTAGTTTTCATCTTATGTTCAGTGAACTACAGGGAATTTTTAAACAATTTTTTCCTCAAAAACTGATCCAAATTTGTTCTTAAAATTATCTCTTTAACGTATCAAATGACGATAAAAAAAATTGTGCTAGTCTCATTTTTGGCGAACTCACAAATTGCAAAAATTTAACATAGCAAAAGTACACTATTGAAGATAGAGATTTTGTCTTATGTTCTAAGGAATCAGATCATTAAAAAATATGTAAATTTTTTGGGGGGAAAACAACAACAATTTTTTGCACAATTTCTGCTTGAAGTTAATGCAGTGCATAAATAGAGCATTTTCTCAAAACTGGTCTAAATTTTTCAACGATAGTTCAAGGAGTGATTGAAAGAATGCCACAGGCCAAATTTGTTTGAACATTCTGAATTTTTGATAATTGCAAAAGTTAGAAATAATTGGAGAAAGTATATGCTGTTTAAGCTCCATTAGTTTAGTTTTGTGGTCTAGTTGCCTGCTCTAGTTTAGTGCACTCTGGCCTTAGTCACAAAATCCTACTTCAAACTGTTTTCTATTGAAAAGTAATATAGATTTACACATATACCATAATCACAAAAACTGCAAATTTTGCAATTGTGACAGTTTTACAGTGAAAGTGTACCTTATTGTGGAACTGGAATCATCATGCATAGTTAAAAGTACTATGGGTTCCTCGTTACATAAGTTTATTTGGTTCCAACATCCTTGAAATAATTCTTAAGAAGACATTTGATATCAAGTAATGCAATTATAAGGTAGGATTTTGCAAATATCCCCAACAAAATTGCAAATAAATATATTTTATTCTATATTTGTTTTTCTTTAAGTTAAACAATAGCTGGATAGAACTTGTGAATGTAAAGTAATGTTGGGTAAAAAGCAAGATGAATCATAAACAAAACATGCTGTGAATATTCTTCCTTTAAAAACCATTCCAATTAAAATAATTTGTATAGTGTTGCAATTGGAAACAAAATTAATTAACATAAATTTATCAGTCTCAAAAATACAATATATTTTGAATTCTTGTTATTGTTTTCAGCAAACAATATTACAAATGAATTGTGCTGTATCTATGTAATGCCAATTTTATAAACTAAATTTCATTTACTAGCTTAAGAAACTTAAAAAATCTTTGTAATTTTCTTATCATATTGTCTAAAACCTACAAAAACTCCATTTTCTATGCCATCCAAAAACCAGCTAAATCTTCAACTTTCAGTTTATCTGTGGATTGTTGATTCTTCAATGAATCTTAATTGAATCCATCTCTAAGTTTTAAGTAATTTAAATATTCTCGCCACGTAAAATAAGGCAAATTCAATTAAGTCAATTCAATTCAATATTATAGTTGAGTCATGCAAAGATTTTAGCCTGACACAAAATTATATTTAAAAACAGAAGTCAGGTAATTCAAAAAAGTTTGTTTATGCATTATTTTGAATATTGATTTGAGTATTGTTGAAATATTGAATATAACCTGATTTGTCATGTGAAAATTTGTGTACGTCTGTATAAAATTATCACATAACTATAAAAATTGCTCATTACGTAACATAACTGTAAATGAAATGTGCAGTGCAATTGTATTAAACATTTAATGTTAGTGATAGAAGGGAGGTAAATATGTAGCAATATGCATTTCATTGAGGATGTTGCCCTATTCCAAAACGAATTACTTTATCTCTTTTGACTAAGTAAATATTATGCTTTTCCTAGTATCCTTTGAGCAAATACAGTGATTCCCTTTTGTTTTGCATCTGGACATAACAATAGCTTCAGTATGCATGAGTTAGTAAACCTCTCTGTTTGCTAGTTACATTAGGAGAAGGGCCAGGGATCTAGGTTGTTGTTTTGTTTGCTATAAAATCAAATCTGTCATTCATTTATGGAAGCAAATCATTTTTCTAATACTTAAACTAAATATTTTTAGTTTTCAAATGTTGCTGTCCATACTTTTTATTCGTCATTCAACTCTATTTATTAAAAGACTGGTGTCTGGAGCTCAAGAAAACTTGTGCAGATTATATATCTCACCTATAAGACCCACTTTTTTTTAATGAATTTTTTAAGGTTTTTATTTGTTTTTTGATAACAATTAATCAAATAAAATTGAGGAAGAAGAGAAAAAAAATGTTCACAATAGTGATTACAAATTGAGATGTTGAAGGTGTTCCATGTCTATAATAGATATTTAGGAACATTCATCGCAGGCAACCAAACAATTCTTGATTTTATCTGGTAGCTCCAGAAATAATTATTGTTTAAAAACATAAGTAACTTGAAAACATCAGTGATAATCCTTGTTTTCAAATATTTGTAATTGAATTTATTTAAATACAATCTTCTCCTTTAAATATAAACCAACTTAATATAGTGTTAAATCTTAAATTCTTTGAGGAAAAGGGAGGAATCACATTCCTTGCTGTTCCTACTGAGAGATCCTTCATTTCTGAAAGTTGAATGCTCACTATTACTTTACTTAAATAAGAAACACTAATTGTTTTTCTTTTCTGCAGATGAGGTTGACGTGATCGGTTACACAAGTAATCAGAGCGACACAGACGACCACAGCAGCATTCAGTCAGCATCCACTGACAGTGGGGTGGCTATGTCTGCCAGCCGCCTCACCCTGGCTGAAATGGACATCTAGGTAAGTCTACAGTGTCCAAAGGGTATAGGGTTTGTCTGAGGAGAAACAAGTTACCAGCTTTGTGCTAACTCTTTGATACGAGTTTGAATTTTATAACTTTCAACTAACTATCGGAGACTTAATAGACTTTCGAGACTCAATAATATGCAGAAGCTCAACATCAATGTAATCAACATGAAATTAATATAAGTGGAATGTTCTTGTTGAAGATGTTGATCTGTATGGACCAAATTTGATTAGAAGTTCAACGTGGGTGAAAACGTTTAAACCTTGCAATTTGTTTATACTATTACCTACATTCAATCTCTTTTTCAGTATCTTTTCCTTTCTATATTTAATGGCTATACTAAAAGAGATTTGAAAAAAGAGATGCCTCAAAACCTTTTATTCAGAGTATTGATTTCATCAGGAAAATTAAACATCATAAGGGAAAATGAGTAGAAAGGCTATGGGAAACAAACACACGCACTATCAAAGTAGCCCAAGATATGTGCAGGGGCTATCAACTTCAGAACCACAAGATGCACTGCACAAAACTTCAGGTATAAGGTTTAGCAATTCATCTCTATATGGGAGACATGCATAATAGAAAACGAGCTTTGATTGGCAAAGAGTTTATTTTATATGTTATTATATTAAAAAACATTATTTGACATCTCTGACAATCTCCTTTTAAAGAAATAGATTTGTTCTGATCTGAAATGGCATTATGCAATAAAAGTTAACAAAACGTGTTGTTTGAATGTCAGCTGTCTAAAAGAGTTTGTTCAAATTTTTTGCATCAACTGTAAATTTTCTCAAGGAGTTTCATAATATTTACATTTCTATAAGTATTACTTATATTTTTAAAAGATTTTTCTCAATTTATACAATGCTGTCGATAATATTTCTAATCCTCAGCACACATCAAAAGGAGGAACTTCAGTGCTAGTTTAGTGCTATTATTAGTTCATATATTTTTTTCAAATCTGTGATCATTGCTTTTTGTTTTAATAGCAAGAAGATGAGTTTTAATTGGCTTCGAATGTTAACCCTAAATATGATTCTTATCAATGTAGACAATAAGATATTAATACAATAAAATCTGTTATTACAGTAAAATATATTTTTCTACAACTGTATGAAAGGCATATTCTGCGCATTGTTATTGGCTATGTGAAGTAGGTAATATTTTAGTATCCTTTGAAAAAAAGATGCTTGTCAAGGAAACCCTCTTGTTACTGTGATAAAAGTTATTTCAAGCATGTCTATGTATTACTTTTTTCATGGTTCGGACAGTGTAACCAACCTACATAATACACAATAAGAAGACAAACGCAACAATTTAATTCTAATTGAATTATCTGTACACAATAAATCTTCCAATACAATTAGTCCAATTAATATATACAGTAAATGTCCTCAGTGAATGATTCTTACTATCTGATACTCATATGATAAGCACTGACTCTTTTATCATCAATATCTATTGTCATATTCTGTAAAAAAACCTATAAGAAAATTTAAAAATATTTTGAAACTTCAAAAAACTTCATTAATAGACATGGTTAATTTCCTCACCTTCATCAATAAATCTTCTTTATAATTCACATTTTTTTGAGGTAAGGAAAGGTCTTCTTGAGAGATAATTTTTTAGTTTTGGGGGCAATAGTCAACTGACTTTGTTTTTAAATAACACACTAATTTACAAAATTTCTTTCGGTTATTATTTTCATTTATATTTAATATAGCTTTCAACATTGAAAATCGCATCATATTTTTCATGGGTTTTGGTCTGTAAATTAAAACAATATTATCTCAGTATGCCAATGTTTCAGTTTTATTTCTCATCAGGACCTCATCACCATTTACAACACAGTTAGAACAATTTATAACTAACTCTCTAATTATTACCTAGTTTAATGGAAGTGCTCAGTATGGACTACAAAGAGAATGTTTTTTTTAAGTAAAAATAAAAAAAATACAATAGAAACATACCTTATGTGGGAGGGAATATTACATAAACTATGTAAACATTGTATCAAGGCAGCTCTCTGCTATAAGAGTTAGTATGATACCTGCGGACTATATGATCACTACTGAAATGGTGTTCAAAAATACAAGCCTTACACTCACTCTTAGGAAACCAATTTCTGGTACAACATACATAATTAACTTCCCAGACTCAACAATAACAATACGTGTAGATTTTATTCTTATATGATAAAAGAGTATTAAATTAGTACCACAAAACTATAGTATGAACTTAATTGGTAAGATATGATTATACTATTTATTTATTTATTTTTAAAGTACATAAAGCCACCAGAATGAAGTTACAAGAAACTAATAAAAATTAATAAAAACAATAAACCAACCAAATGATATGGAATCACAACCAGGGTCAAGTCAACAACAAAGCAATTGATACCACCATTAGAAAAAACGTATTGCTTGAAAAGGAATATAATTTTGTTTTGTTAAAACATGATAATATATTATATAAACCATAACTACTGTCAAGCATTTAAACAATCAGGAACATATTGCATCTGTGTTAACTTAATTAAATAATAGAAATCAATCATATTACAGTTATGCGTGTCCTGACACGAAACCTATTGACTAAAAACACAGAGATGATCACTGCATAATTCATATATATCACATGATCAACATATTATAATTTGAACACATAATTTGAACATTGAAAATAGCAACTATAAAGTTGAAAATGCTACAACCTTAGAGTTTTCTTCCAAGTATGCTAAAACTACATCCTCTGTTATTTTCAAATAATTATTCAGTGTGCACCAACCTTGACATCGAGTACATTTTTCATTTATCATTTTTAAGTTTTCATTCATGGCCCGATATAATAGGCTGCTGCTTGCCAGGATATCAACCACCTTATTCCTCTAAGGAGTAACAAAAGTTTTTCAAATACCTTATTATCATTTTTATACAGTTGTAGAAAAATAATGTTCATATTTTGGGAGCAAAGCAGATGGTCTTGATTGATTTTTTTTGCCTCAACCTACAGTCTCGGCAAAAATTTCAATCTCGACAAAGTAAATACCTCCACTTTGCGCACTTAATATGAAAATAATTATTTCATATATTGATCCACCATTACTCATGCTTGTGTGTGTTAAGCAGTTACTTGCATTTCTCACATCCATTAATGTTGTTTTTATTACTTTATTATTATATTTATTATTATTACTTATTATGGATGACACACATGCATTAATATTCTAATATATTTGTTATTGAGTTGTATAACATGTATAGATATAAAATTGCCTAAATCGTAAATATGCCTTCCTGTCTCAATGTTTGTTTCATTACAACACAAGCAGTATAAGGAATGAAAATCAAACTAAGTCATACAGTAAATTAAAGTCATAAAGTAGGCATATTTTCTTAAGACAATATGTTTAATATAGATAAATCATATTGACAAATACGGTATGTAAAGTATTAGCGAACATTACCAAAGAGAAATAATTGTCCATTGTCACATTTCTTCCTGTGCTGTCAATTGGACGTATCAATCTCAAAACTACACTGCTGGCATCATTGGAAATCTGATATGGTCCTTCAGGTTGTTTTCCAGAATATATTTCCATATTAACCGTGTAAAATGTTCTTGCATCACAAAGTGCATATATCTTTATCCCATACTTTAGCAGGCTTTTTTGAGATGTACTGCCTGAATTTGCATCGTTCTCTAAATGCTTCCAGCATTTTGTCTACAGTGGTGTGTGCACTTTTACAGCATTTACAAATCAGTCAAATATTTCTCTTATTGGGGCCAAATTGTCTTCCTTCTTTCTTTGCGCCCTTGTTAGTTTATCATTGAATCTAACGGATGGCAAAAGAGTGTAAAATCTTCATTTACTTATTGCTGTAATAAAGAAGTCAGTGGCAGTTCCGTCAGTGGCCCACAGTTCATCTGCATTTAGGTGTTGCACCTTTTTTACCCCAGCAAGATACAGAACATCGAGAAACACTGACGTTTCTTCAAAATCTGTTTCCGAACAAAGTCGTGAATTTTGTGAATATGAAGATACCGTTTTGTGAATATGAAGATGCATGATTGCTTATCATACTTTTTGCAGATTTTTTCCCCAAAATATAAATAACATGACTTCTGCTTTATGGGAAAGGAAGACTTCAAAAAATATAATAAACCTTATTCTATTTTGTTCTAAATCTAATTTACTGTGGTACAATGCACTAAAAATATTTCACTGCCTAATGCAGCTCAAAATTGAAGGTATAACTTTATAACTAACAAGAACAGTATGACAGGACACAAAATTGAGAAATGCTTTTGGGAAACAATATAAATACTAAAATCATTTTTCAGGAAATGAAGGAGAAAAATGTCAGCTTAACTCTTTGCATAATATTAGCATCAAAATACGGAACATTTTCTTTTAAAAAAATGAAAATTATAATTTTTGTTGTAGCACCTCTAGTTTCATTTCATGACATTTAAATATGTTTTAAAATTGGATCAATGCAATGGTTTATAAAAATCAGTCTAAATGTCTAGACGTGTGAGAATAACAATGGAACATGGAAACGATTTACACTGTCAACAAAGATCAAAGGTGTTCATAATAGGGCCTACAGTTCTGTCACATGTAGGTGACACTAAAAATTCCTGAGTTTTAATGAACTTCATTCAACCGTGATTTTAATGATGCCTATTAAAGTTATTTTGTATAAACTATTTTAATGGTTTGCAGATACTGAAAAAATGCTTAAAGCTTATTGGAAAAAAATAGCTTATCTATCCACTTGACAACAAAAAAGGCATTTAAGGAAAGGGAAAGTTTTGAAATAAATAGATGTGATAAAATCTTCGAATTTTAACCTAGAGCAATTTGTATGTACAATATGTAGGCTCTTTCAGGTTTGTTCAGTTCATTATTTTAATATTGATGAGCTCGAGTTTTGTGCTTTTATCTTGAAAAGGAGAAAGAAAGGAAAGAAGAAAATGAAAATCAAATGTATTGAATCATTCCCTTTATTCAGAGAAGACTTTTAGTAATCTACAATTTACTGTAAAATTTGTCATGCAATATTTGAATTATGTGGCACTTTCTGTACTCCAGTAATCCGGCAAAGATTTTTGGAACCAAATCCAAAAGCAGACCCTGATTCAATTTCAGACAGGAACTTCATTATTATATATTCATTTGACTTTAGAGGTTTTCTAACCATTTCTTTTGCATAGTTGTAACAAAACACTAGTGTATGCCAGAACCATTTAAATATTTTGTATTCTTTTTCTACATTTTTCTTAAAAAATGAATGCAAAATAATGACTGTTATTAGAATTAGTAACAAATCCCAAAACATAGATAGTTTTGTTATGTAGATTCCTTTATTATTTTAGGCACATATTTTTTAATTGTGACAGAAAGTTGTGTAGTTATGAGGAACGAGAAGGTATGATGTTTATGTGTTGCTGATGTTGCAGGTGGGTGGCGCGGAGCGAGGAGCAGCTGAGGGACAGGACGCCTGCCGGAGGTCTGCTCTGCGTGCCTGGCGCTCCACTCCAGGCACCAACAAGCCTACAGAGCCAGTATCAAGTTAACATTGTTACACACCCCCACCATCACTCATTATCTCTCCTCTAGTCAACAAGGACATGTCTACTGTATTATAAAAGAAAAATAAGAATGATAAGGAAAGAGATTCAGGATCAGAGAGAAAAAATGAAATAAAACGCATCGCAGTCACTGCATGTGTAAATTATTTATGTAAATTGTACATATTTTTTGTTTTAAATGAGAGAAAAAGCTAAAGAGATAAAAGAGTTCTATTTTACTGCAGGTCATGACGTTTTCAAAAAAATCATTGGCCAGGAATCATTTTTTTCTGTCCACATTTATTTTTGAGATTAGTAGAAGAATTTTTGTTATATATGATGAATGAAAGAAAGGCAATTAATAGAGTATAGTGTGTTGATTTTTTGGAGCTGTGCAAGGGGATAGTTTTATCATGAAATTTGAAGAAGCTTCGATGTAATTGAGCAGGCAGATCTCTGGACAGTTGTTCTCTGCACTCTCACTGTCAAATGTTTTAAAATGGGGAAAAATTGTTAAAAACAATGTGGAAAGGACTGTGTAAGTTTGTGATCAATGGATTTTACAGTGTCTTTCAACTCTGAGAGTTGAATCGGAATAAGTTTCCTTCTTTGTCTTCTTCTCCTATTACTATTACTACTTTTGCAACTGCAAGTGCTTATGATTATACAACAGCCAAAAATATATAAATATATATATTATGTATAAAAATAGATGATTTATTGATAATGATGGGACAGAAAATATTTAAAAAATACGGTCCGGAACCTTACCATATGGAATACTTAAAAGAAGAGATCAAAACTGATTACCTGAAAATGAAATTTTTAAGAAGATTGTGGCACTTGTATTACGGACAATTCAGAATATTTTAAAACTTTTTATTAGTGTATTACAGTTCTGTTTACACTACTTTTTTGTCTGTTTATAGAAGAGCATGAATCGATGAGATAAGTAAGACTTTAATTGTAATTATTATAATTATTATTAATATTAAATGTTGTTTGGCTGCGAGTGCAAAGTGAAATCCCAACGTCCCACCCACGTCCGACGATTGCCGACTATGTCTGCAGGCCCTTGTGATATTGACCAAGACAAGACAGCCCTGGGACAAGAACAGCACCCCCAGCCTTGCACTGACGTGTGCCAGATCTCTCCAACCAAAATGTCTGTCTGTCCCTCTGTTCTGCCTCCAATTGTGCTGGGGGGAAGGAACAAGGAAGAAAGATTATTACTATATATAAATATATATATATAAAAATAAAAAAAAAACAATGGAAAAACAAAACATTGTCATGAATTCAAAGAGTACAAATTCTGTATAAGTCCTATCCTCACTACTGATGATAACAGGTGAGGAAGGAACGTTTTATGTTTAATTTTTTTCTCCGTGGAAGTCACGTTTCAGCAGGTAGCATTTCTCACACCTCATAAAGTTTCTTTACATTAATTCTTTCATTTTTGGGATATTGTTTGGGCATTAGAAGGGCTTGGTAGTTGCCTGCTGTGGCGGGTCAAGCCCTTTCTTTCCCATGCCTCCTGCATCTCATCCACACCCACCTGCCCAAACAAGCAAGTGTGCTATTGCTGAAACTGTGCTCCAGTGGTGGTATAGAACTAAGCCTCTTCAAGTGTAGCAGTGTGTGGTGTGCGTCTTACCAAATGTGTGTGCGAGAGTTACAGAGATAAACCTGAGGCAAGGCTATTATATAGAAAATAAATCGCTATGTACAATAAATTTGTTTTGTGAGTTGGCCAGAGTGGGATTGGATCCAGGACTCTCAAAAGACTGCAAGAGGATAATATCCAGCTCTTCTAGAACAGTGAAGAGAAGTGTGTACTTGAAGCTAATTGTAGCGTATATGTCTGATGAATTTTAAAAATTCGAGATGTGCAATTTGTACATAAAAAAAAAAGGATCGCCCCCTCAAATTGTAGGACATACCAATGGTTTTGTTCTAAGACTACCATTGGCATGTTGAATCAGCGTGGTGATTCCTGGATTTGGTCCCTTCCTCTCCCCTGTGAACGAGATGACTGATCATAAGATAGTATTTTGAGCCAGCTGAACACTCTTGAGGCTGTAGACTGTCAGCTCTTCAATGTGTCTGCTTCTCTTAGATGCAAAAAACTTTAAAACATATACAAAACACAAAAAAATTACCTAACTACCTTTCTGTGTCAACAAAAAAGAGCTTGGAGGATTCTTCACAAAAAACCTTAAAATTAAAATAACAAAAAAATGTATACATAGGAATATATGTTACTGGAAGCACTACCAATTTGGTCTGAAGGTATCTTTAAAATGTGATACAACTTGGAAAAATAATTAAAAAAACATTTTTTGTGTAGATTTAATTTTCCATGCAAGATTTTGTGTAGCAGCAATATGAATTGATACCAGTATCTGTGGGATTTAATTACTGTCACTTAGACTTTTATTTTAAATATGTCATATCTCATTCTTTTGTGGTGGACTTTTTTTTAGATACCTTATATTTTAGAACGTCTTCTCTTTCATCCATGGGTAATGTACAGAAATATTAAAACTGCTGCTTGTAGAAATGTAGCAACCATGCTGGCCTGCCCCAAGATATTGTAAACCAGTCCCTTTCCTGTGATTGGCTGGCGGACTGAACACTTGATACGTGTAACGTACAAGCCAGGGCAAAGGATGTGTGGATGTGAATGATCATACAATTCACCACTTTCCTTCGGTCCTTCCAGTCTAGAACAAACTGCGTCTCTGTGTCTGTCTCCCTATTTTATGAGTGTACGAAAAAATTGATTGTACATATATTACTTGTAACTATTCATATTGCATCATTGTTTTGTTCTTAATTTTCTTGATTCTACGGAAAATAAAATTTGTGTATTATTATAAAATGGACATTAATGACTTTAGTCCTGAAGAATTCCTATTGGCTCAGAAGTCTATTAGTGGTGAAAGTGGCTCAACGAGAACCTAATTTCCAAAGTACTCCACACAAAAATACTGATTCAAATTCAACAATGGTGTATTTGGATATTAGAATTTGTGTTTCTGGAATGAATGTGTTTGAATGGTCTATTTACTCAGGGTTCTGAGTAATACCAAACTTTTTGTCTTCAAATGTCTGTGTGTATTATTTGCACATTACGCACAAATATTTTGTGTGTGTTAAAAAGATTGAGGTATGTAGTAAATGTCATAATAATACATACTAGAAAACCAGGACTTTGATCTTGTAGTATTCGAAGTGTACCCTTGTACGCAGAGCTGCCATTCAGTATAGCTTTAAAGAAACTTTAGAACTTAAAAACCATAGAGTACAACTATTAGGAGAATGGAAGGTGTTTCTATAATTTACATTTACCACAAATGTCTTGTTACAGCACTTGGGCATTTTGCTGTACTTTGGTAGGGGAAATCTCAAGTTATGTAAATATTACTTTTGTAAGGGATGGTGGATTCTGTGATTTCATTTCTTTAATGAAGGCCGAGCTTGGACGCTTGAATGAGAGCAAGAGGATCTTAGTCACAGTTGGTACTCTGATTTTAAATCCAAATGATAAGGGCTCCACAGGTAAACAACGTATAGAAATAACATTTCATTCCCAACATTATTTCAGACAGGTGAGTTTTACGTTATTCTGAATAGCATGAAATTATCGGGAGTTACGTTGTATGCAATCTCACAAATATTCTTAATCAGCTCTGTCAGCGTATTGCAGTTTCAAAATTTTAGTTGGCATGACCTGATAAATGCTGCTAGTTTGAAGTGGTTAAAACATAGAAGTATTTTGGAAGTGAAGAATATTGCATTTTAGGAAGAGTTTTGTTCATTTTCCATCGTGCTGAGAATTTGCTATTTTCACATAAGTGCATTAAAATACAATTCTTCCACTTAAAAATCAACATCAGTTTTTATTACAGATGGATCAACTTCTTTGTTTACAATTTTAATTCTTAAGGACGTGATGCCTCTCTATCATCTCTGCTGCTCTCATTGTGATGAAGCAGTTGGTCACCGAGTGGACATTATAAAAGAAGTGCAATGAATGGGCAACTGCTGTAATGTGGAAAAAGTGAAGGTGTCTAATTATTTTTTTATTGTACTTTAGTAGAATATATTTATTTCATTTTCTGATATTATTTATGAGGATGATTCCTGGTTATGAATGTATTTGTGTTTTAATGCATAGTGGAGGGTAAACCTCGAAAATTGGAGAAATATGTGTTGGCTAAAATAAAGTGCAAATGATATCAATATCTGTTTTTAATTTGTTTCACGTGGCCTGTTTTTTTTTAATTTCCTTTAAGCCCATTGTTTTGCATTTAAATTGCGTATATTCATTGATATCGATTACCTTTTACGAGTGAGGTATCCGAGTACGCTTTTAGGCACGTAATTGCGCAAAGAATGCACTATCCATAGAGAAAATACCGACGGAGTAATGACATTGAATGGTCCTGCCACCTGTGGATCGGGTGTGAAACTAACTGCGACATTTTCTTCCCCGAATAAATATACAAAAGCGCGGTAAATTTGAAAAATGAAAAAGTACGCAAGAAACTACGAACGTCTTTCTGTTGGCAAACGACATGTTTTTGCGGTAGTATTTCTTATCTGATTTCCGTGGTGGTTTTAGTGAACTGTCGGAAGAGTCGGTGGACGGCGTTACGCAACGCGTTGAGCGGGGCGAGCGACACGCGAGCGATCTGTGCGCCGTCGGTGGAACACAGCGCAGGGCGCGTTCCTGAATAGCGGAGAGGGGGCCGGCGCGGCGCGGCGGGTGCACATGCAAGTTTCACATGCCCTTCATGAATAATGCGGCGGCGGCGGCGGCGGCCGACGACGGGGCGGTGAATAGTGAATGCCGGGACCGCGACTCACAGAGACTCGTATATGATCCGCATGCGGCGGCACGGCACGGCGCGACACTAATTACCGGCACGCCAGCGCAACGGCCGTCTCTCAAGGCGTCTGGGCCACTGCACCGCCTCCTTGCGAAGGGAGTTGGTCAACCCATGCCCCACATAGGCACTTTCTAATTAGTACTTAAAAAGGTTCATCCACAACTGTGTCGAAAATATATTATTTTATTCCCGACATCAAGAAAAGCACTGCTTAAAAAAAATCATTTGTTTTAAAATAACCATATACTTGCAGGCAAGGCCTTGTTTGTAAACCATGTTTAAATTATCAGTAATCATAATAATTTGTATATAGTGATTCGTTCATCATCACAGTATTAAATGTTAGATCATTCTGAGAAACAATTTCGTGTATGGAAACATCATTTCGCGGGGGAAAAGCGCCTGGCCGCGAGGGGTGGGTGTCGTCGGCTGGTGCAAAAGCGTGCGTCGCGCCGTGCGCCGCTCCGTGCGGGTCGCGCGGCAGGTGCCCTGCGTGTCGCCCGCGGGGCGAGGGCGAGGGCGATGTGGCGGGTGGCGCCGCCGCGGCGGGCAGGGCGCGTGCACGAAAGGTCAGCCGCAGCGACGAGGGCCCGCGGAGGGGAAGTCACAGAGCGACACAGCAACGCGGACTATTAATGCCAAGCGAGAAAGGTAGAGAGGGAGATTAAAATAAGTCAATTTATCTTAAAAATAAAAAAGAATAAAATGGTTGGCTCACTGACGTATCAACAAAGGGACAAACCTACTGAGCTAGGGAAGTGAAACGGAGTTTAGGCATCGAGACATTTCCGGCTACAGGACGGCAGGACGGAGGCGAGGAGGCTGAGATGTAAATAAAATTACTTTCATTTTACACCAATGACAGAATGCATTCCCTTCCCAATCCAATTGATGACGATAATAGAAACGCCGGGTTTCTTCAGCTGTGTGATAATTGTAATATGAAACCCACTAAACTAAGAAACGGTGTGCCTTATTGTAATCAAATATCGGTACCGGTAATAGTAGTAGTGCATTACTATTGGACCAACGAGCACGGGTATGGAATGTTTCATATCGAACAGAAAGTTTTGTGTCGATATCCCGTTATTTGAAAAAGCTCTAAACAAAGAATACTAATACTTCCAAGTCTTTTGAGTTGTTTTTGTACTAAGATGTTACATGCTAGATTCCACTTCATGTCGGTAATCGGTGGTTGTGATAAAAATAAATCCTGCTGTTAAGAGAGTTGTATAAGTTGAGTGAAACGAAACCCAGTCAGCGTATGCTGAACAGGTCCCAAGATACTCTTGAAGTGTTTTATTTTCCAATGTCTTTGATTTTGATTCGAACCTTTGAAAGTTTGCCCTAGGCAGGGAAAAATTAATAACACAGTCACGCACACAGACACACACAAATTTGTCAGACCCAGAGGCTTGACGTATGTTCTCTATGTATATCGACGCGCTGAATCCGAAGCCAGAACTGTGCCATTATCCTCCAGTGGTTTTTAATCGCGAACCCCCACCCCGTGAAATTGTATTTTTTTTTGGGGGGGGGGTTGTTGTCAGACCCAAACTTAACGTGTTTCTCTTGTGAATATCAACACGCTGAACCACAATGTGGAGTCAGAATTGTGCTATCACCTTCCAGTTTTTTCGCAGTTTAAAAATACAATTTCACGGTGATTTTTCGCGATTCAAAAAACTGGAGGGTGGTGCGCAATATTGGCTCAGATTCGGATTCAGGGCGTCGACATACATAGAGAAAAACATGTGTCAAGTCTTGGGAACGGACAACTTTTTTTTATTTTTATGGCGTGTGCCTGTGTAATTTTTCGGAAACGACATCATCGTTCCCAGGCCACCGTGCCCCTCCTGCAACCCCGGGGCGCCGGCATTGGGTCTGGCGGTGAAAAACCACTGGCAACTTACGCACGTCATGGCGGCGCTGCCCTCGCCAGACCCGGGCTGTTCTTGGTTCTGCGTACAAGATGGCGATGAAAGCACATCACAGTGTTCACAATGCGATCGTGATGACGCATACGCTCGTGGTAAATGGTGGACATTTAAGGTGAGCTCATAAAAATATTTTCACTCTTTCATATTCTAGACATCAGAGAGAAAATAATTACTGTTCGTTTTTGAATACGAGATACGGGTTATCAGGTTGCCTTACTTCAAATGCTGTGGAAGGAGAAGTCATTCAGACGATCATGATACTGCGCGTTAACGGTGTACTAAAAACACGTTATGCACTCTTATTGCTTTAACGAAATGCATTCAACTCAGAGCTAGTAATCACTGCATAATGGGAAACTTTTATGAAAACTTCATGCTAGCAAAAGTTAAATGCGACCACATTAGTATCCACCTCACATAACGGCAAGGCTGTGGGCAGGCGATAGAGGGAGACAGAGACAGTGATACTGCGGATTCTAACTGTACGTGCGGTATCGTAAACACTTCGTTTGTAAATAACAGCAGTAAAGTAATTTGCACAACTCGTGCGCGAAGTGGTTCGTGCACTTATTACTTGCAACATCTTTCAACGTGCCGTATCCGGAAGAGGTTTTGCGCACACGTCACGATGTTTTGCGATCGACTGTTAATGTTTTCATTTTAGTTACAATAGAATGAAAAAAATAGCTGTTCTACACGTGTATCATACACTATTTTTTTGGAAAACCTTATTGTCTTTCATATTATTTTAATTCAAGTTCTCTTATACAAATTCAATGGCGCAAGTTCAGTTGGTGTCACCCCCTAAATGAAATATAAAAGCAATTATTACTGAATACTTTGTACATTATTGAAAGAAAAAAAATGCAGATGACATTTATTTATAATATATTAAAAACTATATGTAAGTAAGAATAAATGAAATTTAATTTTTAAATAAATAATATAAAAGGAATTATTACTAATTAACAAATGCATGTTTTTATAAAAATCACCTTTCGAGATTTAAGAACGGCAAACTTATCTATAATTTTATCGAAGTCTATGCTTATTGCAATATCATTTTCTATTGACAATAGAGCCGAAACAGAAAGTATTGATTCAGTCATTGTATATTGCAAATAAGATTTTATAAGCTTTAATTTGGAGGATTCAATGTAAATAATACATATGATTGTATTACCTCTTATTTCCAGCAACAGTATGCTCATTAAGTTTAAGCAATAGTTGAAATCGAGACTCTAACCTTCGAAGAATATGTGCCTACTACTTACACTTGTCACAAGTTTTACCAAAATTAATTTTACAACTAGTATGTTCCCAAATCCATTGACAAATATTCTCTACCTTTTGCACATTTTCAACATATAGAAGAGCTGCAAGTAATCAGTAAACCACTGCCTGACTACACTCTGAGTTGAAAGGTTTAAGACAAAAATACCAATATAATTTGTTTTTAAAAATGAGTTACTGGCCCATTCCACATGGGTCGCTCGTCCAGCCTTCCGAGTGCAGCGAATGACAGACGTCTGCGAGGGGCTGAGGGCAATCGCCTCAAGGCCAGTGAGCGATTATTCGCCAAGGTCATTTATCCATTATTTCTGTATTCTGTTTGAAAGGGCGTAACAAAACATTTCTCTCTACAGTATACTAGTTAGAAATTTGTCATAAGAAAGAGAAACAACATTGTTGGTTTCTCCTGGATCTGCATCTGCGGAACGGTGATGTGTTGTTTTTAGTTATCGAAAACGA